TTTTAGAGAAGCGCTTTCTTGATGTGATCGACATATTTTATAGTGCCTACCTTCATTTCCAAAATACTCCAGACACAATAGTCCAACGAATTGGTATCCGGAGATTTTGGCGGCTATTGTGCGCTGTGGGGTTTTCGATCAAGTCGCTTCTATATTTTCGAATGTTGCTCTTTTCTTCCGTCCTTTTCCTTGACGTCAGGCTACGCTACCAGTATCACGGTAACGAGCGATGGTAGGTAATACAAAAGATTTATTCATATTTAAATGCTGGAGTGCTCTAACGACAGCCAATTGTGGTTTTCCAGCTAAATATAAATTCACGCCTGAACTCCGTCACGAACAACTTTTTTTCGGGAAAATTCTCACCAAAATGCTTTTGTATGCTTTTAAACAATTTAATGAGCTGTCACTGTTGGACGAGTGGCTTAGAAATGACAGCAGCCTGAAGTTGGTTGCAGTTTTTTCATCTCACCCTGTATGTTTCATCCGATGTGGTCTTTAGATCCCCCACATAGGTAATATGCATTCGACAATAATGATATTTGGTATCAGATATTTTATAGAGTTTGGAACTACCTTTGCCAAATTTTATCGAGATCGGCTATGATTTGGATATAGTTCCCATGTATATCGTTAATGCTATTTCAGGTTTATTGTATAATAATGGCTAATATTAGCCCAAATGAAGTGAATTTCGGGACGTAAGTTTAAATTTAGCGGGAATTGACTCCGATATATTTTTTTAATACGATCCTTCTCGAAGTGATATCTATAGCAGCTTTGTTTATTATGAAAGATAAAAATTATTTCGTCAGATTTAGTGAAAATCGACTCAGAATTTTATATGAGTCCCATATATTAGTTCCCTCTGAAACCAAACTATAACTGCTCTAAGCCAAATATAGATAGATAGGTAGTGTAATCTACTTCAAATAAATTATTTTGTTATGGGAGCTTTACTAAATATTCATAGTGGTGTAGGGCATCATATAGTCGGCCGCGCCCGACTTTTGACTTTCCCTTACTGTTTTTTTACAATATTTTTTTAAGAAACTACTGCCACTGTGTATTTTAAATCCGGAGGATTATGTTAGATTATTTTTTGCAGGACATTACTATTTTTTTTTTGAGAATATTTTATAATAACCGTAGTTATTTTTGGACAATATTTTTTGGGACTAATAAGTCTTTTTGCAGAATATATATTTATATTTTATATATATATATATATTTATATATATTTTTTTTTTGATTATCCGCCAAGTAATCGTTTAAAGTACCTCTTTCAAGATAAAAAAATATAATAATAATAACAAATTATAAATAACTAAATAAAAAACAAATTTAATATAATTTTTAGTAACTGAAACTACGAAACTTTACAAATTACTTTCAGGAAAAATAAGCTAAATAAATTTGGATTTTTTTAAAAAATAGTTATAAAAGGCCACTGCGAGATAAAAGTTGATTTTTTAAAAATTATTTTCAAATACCTTCCGCCAAATTTTTGTAAAAAAATATTTTTTCGAAGAATTCTTTTAAAAATAGTTTTTAAAAGCCCAATAGAGCTACAATTGCGGATATTTTACCAAAGTGTTTGGAAAGACTCATGGAAGTATTTCCGTGAAAGTTTCATTTGTCCTGAAATGGATTTTGCCCCAGCATATGTTTAGTCAAAAAATTCTCGTTCATATTTTTATACCCTACACCACAAGGTGGTCAGGGTATTATGTCTTTGTGCATTTGTTTGTAACAGGCAAAAGAAAACGAGATAGACCCATAGTTCCTTTTGATGATCTGCATAGAATCACTTTCTGAGTTGATTTATGCATGTCCGTCCGTCTGTTCATGTGTTTTTGTAAACAAAGTACAGTTCGCATTAATTGCCCTATCCAGATGAAATTTTGCACAAATAATTTGTTTGGCCCAAGGACGAACCCTATTGAAATTGGAGATAATCGGTAAAAATTTAGATATAGCTCCCATATATATCTTCGTCCGATTTGCATTTTATTGTGCACCAAATGTGTAATATCATCCCGAATAGTATGGAATTTTGCACATATAACCAAATTAGCCCTGAAAATAAGTATGCCAAATTTGATCGAAATCGGTTCAGATATAGCTATAGCTCCCATATATATTGTTTATCCGATTTGTTACATTTGTTACCCACAGTTGTAATATGCACTCTGTAAAAACAATATTTGGGGAGATATACCTTTGCTAAATTTTATTGAGATCGGTTCAGATTTGGATATAGCTACCACATATAATTTCGTCCGATTTTATTTTTTTGTGCACCAAACGTCTAATATTTGCCCTAATGAAATTTGGCACTTACGACCGAATTGAGTCTAGAAGCTAGTATGTCAAATTTGGTGAAGATCGGCTCAGATATAGCTATAGCGCCCACATATATTTTTCATCCGATTTGATATATTTGTTGCCCACAGCCGTAGTATGTACTCCGTAACAACGATATTCAGGGAAATATATCAAATACAGCTCAGAAATATCTTTGCCAAGTTTTAACGAGATCGGTTCCGATTTGGATATAGCTCCCATATATATCTTTATCCGATTTCAAATTAATTGTGCACCAAATGGGCAATGCAATTCCGAATTTAAAAGATACAAATACTTCGGCATATTTAGTCCTTTGAACTTTAAATTATAATTATAATCATAGCGTGTATGATTGAATTCTCCCATAAAAACTTTAATTGTTATGTGGAGCTCTACTTAATTAGCAAAGTGGTGTAGGGTATCATAAAGTCGGCCCCGCCCGACTTGAAGGCTTTCTTTACTGGTTTTAAAAACCGAAGGGATTTTTTGACAATATTTTTTGGGATTAATAGTAGTTTTTTTGCAGAATATTTGTTATTGATTATCCGCCAAGTAATCGTGGATTTTTTTAAAATACCCTTTTCAAGATAATTCATCAAAACATCGAAAAAATAAGTAAATAAAAAAAATTAAGATAATTTTTGGTAACTGAAACTACAAGCTGTTTACAGGAATAATAAGCTAAATAAAATTGGATTTTATAAAAATATTTTTGAAAGGCCAATGCGAGATAACATTTGATTTTTCTTTAAATTATTTTTCAAGGACTTTCCGTAAAATATTTGTAAAATATTTTTTCCACATATTTTTTTTAAAATAATTTTTAAAGGTCCAATTAAGCTACAATTGTGGATATTTTACCAAAGTATTCAGAAAGACCCATGAAAGTATTTCCGTGAAAGTTTAATTTTACTGACATGGAGTTTGCCCCAGCATATGTTGGGTCAAAAAATGCTCGTATATTTTTTTTTTTATTTATAAATTACTGTTGTAGGAAGAACAAAGCAATAGCAAGGCAAAAAAAAAAAAAAAAAATAAATAAATAAATAAAAAAAAAAACTCAAATAAAATTACTTTTTTTATATTGATAAAGAACAAAAAACAAAGCTTTATTTGAATATTCAGCAAATGTTAAAGTAAATATATATAGAACGATATATATGTGGATAGATAAGATATAAGATATATGAACAATACAATTAAGAAAGAAAGCTAAGTAAGTATGATGTGGATGTAGTAATTCAGTGTTATGTGTTGTTTTTGTTATTGTTACTGTTTCTTACATATATATAAATAACAAAATCCAGAAAAGAAAGCATTAAAACAATTAAAAATTATATTTTTTTTTAAAAGAACAAATGTGACTTAACAAAATTTGTGTAAAAAATATAAAAATCAAAATATGTAACGAGAAAAGAACAAGCAAAGTTGAAAAATTCGTTATATGAAGAGACAGAATTAATAAAAATGTAAGATTTTTTTTAAATTTTTGTTTTAGAGAATTCAATATAGGTCCTTTCATTTCATGACAATTTAACATTCATTTAATTCATTTCACTTAAAACTTAGAAGAGAAAAAAAGAGAGCAGAAGATATGACACTTATGGCAACATTAAATATATAATTTGAAGATATATATACTTTAAACAGAAATTCACTTTTCACAAAATTTCAATTATTTTTTTCAATTAAATTTAAATTTGCTATACACTTTTAGTGTATATTTTTTGAATATTTAATTTTCTTTTTTTGTTCCAAAAAACATAAGATGTATAACAGTTGCATACAGTGTACAGTGGTATAACACAATTCTCTAGTTACACTTAACGAAAAATTCCAACAAAATATTTCAATGCTGCTTTTGTGTTCCATAATATAAAATAAAATTGTTATTAAATTATAAATTTGTTTTTAACAACTTAAAATAACTACAAAAAAAGTTGTATTATATAACACTTTGATCCAGGGATAAATTCATCAAATTAACAATCAAACGTAAAAACTTAAACTAAGACTTGCTTTGTGGGGTATCGGTGATGTTGTTAATAGGGTGCTTTAGAAGCTTTTTTTAATGAAAGAGAACTGTATGTTTAAAACAAGTAAAAGCTTAAAAAGCTCAGCTACTTACAAAACTACTACTACACACTAGTGTATTCATAAACTTCAAATTCATAAAACATAAAATATTCAATTCAAAACGTTATACAAATATAATAAAAAAGAGGATCTTCCTTTGAACGCAGCTATGTGTGTGTGTGTATGGGTGAGTAAAGGAAGAACCCACAAACAGGGTTGTCTGATTACTGTTGTTGTGTTTTTTTGTTTTTTCAAAATCTTATTTTCTGGCCATAAACAAATTGCAAAAGAAAAAGCAAAATCAATTGCACAATGTTTACCTCCATGATGTCCTTGGGGGAGTGGATGGTTTCAAAATTCCGAAATGTTTTTTTGTTTTCTAAGATATTTTTGCTTCTCTTCTACGTAAATGGTCTAAATTAACCACCTGATTAACTTCATTCAGTTTCAGCCATCAACATTATCCTTCCGTCTCCATTCCTCAGCAAAATTTTTCTTCTTCATCTTTTTGTGTGCATGTTTTGATGCTTTTCCTCCTCTTCATTCGTTTTGGCCATTTTCTTGATTTTTTTGAGTTTGTTCTTTTCTAATAGGGCTTCGAAGCATCTTTGGGCTTTTTCAGTTGAACCTTCAAGCGCTTGGTGCCCACTTGAAATCCATTCATTGCCCGTATGGCTACCTGCGCCGATTCGGGATTGTCAAATGATACAAAGCCAAAGCACTTGGATAGGTTTGTCTGTTTGTCGATGAAAACTTTGGCGGAAATAACATTTCCAAATGGCAGGAAAGTCGATGCCAAATCGGTGTCAGTGAATTCCTGCGGCAAATGGTATATGAAGAGATTACAGCCTTCAGGACCTGAAAAGATAGAGATAGAGAAAAAAGTTATTTACGAAAAGATAAATTTAAACTTCAATTTACAAAAATTAAAGAAAATTTCAAATAAAAAAAATATATACGAATGTCATATACCAAATACTGTTAATTTTTAACCGGATTGGTTCTATATTTGAGGCATGTTAAACTTTTCAAAATACCATAACATAGGCGAGGCCGTTATATGGGGGCCGTACCAAAACGGGAACCTCTATAATTTTATACCTCAAGAATTGTAATCTACCAAATCTTCTTAAATACCAAATTTGAGGGTAAAAGTGACTAGGATTATCAAAATGCCGTATATGAGTGTGCGCTATAAGAAAACGTAGATCTAAATATTAAATGCTTCGTCACTGGAGCAAGAACCCATTATGACTTACAAATACCAATTTAGATAAATGCGTCAAAAAATTTTGGAAAAAATCATGAAAATACCAAATATCGAGAGGTACCGCTATATGGCGTTTATACCAAAACGTAGACCAATTTCTATTACCAACCATCCTTGATACAATTCAAATCACTCCGCCAAATTCTGTTTGCCGAGAAAAAAAATTGACTAACATAAGTAGGTACCTCCCACGATTTTAATGAGTTATTCATTTTTATACCCTATATCACAAGATAGTCAGGGTATTACGTCTTTGTACATTTGTCTGTAACACAATCACTGCATATAATAACATTCTGAGTTGATTTATGCATTTCCGTCCGTCTGTCCATGTTTTTTTTTTTTTTTTTTTTTTTGTAAACAAGTCGCATTTATTGTGTGATTGAAATGAAACTTTCCCCAAATCAGCTGTTTGATCCAAGAACAAATCCTATTGGGATTGGAGATAGTTTGTCCAAATGTAGATGTAGCTCTCATACACACATATCTTCGACCGGTTTCAATTTTATTGTGCGCCAAATATCCAACTCCAAATAGGATGTGTTTCAGCACATCCGACCGAATTCTGCCTAGATAGAAGTATTTAAAATTTGGAGAAAATTGGTTTAGATATAGCTAAAGCTTCCATACATATGTTTCATCAGATTGGGATTTTAAGTTCCTCACATAAGCACTACACAAGAATAATTTTTAATACCAGGTATCATATGGCACTTATACTTCTGTGTTATTTTATGCGGACGGCATAAGATATACCTGTATCCGATATCAGGTAGATTGTGCACCAAATGGCTAATATTAGTCCAAATTTGAATTTTTTCTAATTCCGACTGTATTCATCCTAGAAACAGGTAGTTCGTGAATTTCGTACAAACATTTGTCAAAATCGCTTCAGATTTGACCATAGCTTCCTTATATATCTTTATTCGATTTCAGGTTAGTGTGCTCAAATGGCTAATATCAGCCCAAATGGACTGAATTTTAAAACTTCCGACGGCCTAGAGGCAAGTACTTCAAACTTTGGTGAAAATAGGTTCAGATGTAACAATAGCTCTCCTATACACATTTCTTCCGATTTTAACAATGATACTCGATATTGGACATCAGATACAGCCTTAAAATGCATCTGCCAAATTTTATTTTATTATTGTTCATAAACAACTGATATTTTCCATTTGGTTAAGCTCGTTCCGGTATATCTATTGCTCCAATAAATATTTTTTAGTATAATTCTTATCGAAGTGGTACTAGAGGTTTGAAAGCCTCCGTGAAAGTTCTCAAATTGTGACTACTCTATAGTCCTGATTTACTTCAGATAAATTCTCAATACATTTTTTTTTTTTGTTACGGAAGATCTACTAAATAAGCATATGTGTAGGACTTTGGCCGCCCGATATTTGAACTTTTATTACTGATTTTTATTGTATTCCCAATGTAATAGTACATTCATAGCTTTTCAGAAGATTTTCGACCCATTTCGAACCAATTTAGCTATTGTTTTGTATTTCGGAGGGTATTGCACTTCTATCTCACAGAAAAAAAAAATAATATAGGTCTAGCCCCCATTTGGTCATAAATTATATTTTCAAGTGGTGCTATATTTTGGCTCAATTTTGGCTCTCTGCTATATGACTAAAAAACTGCATCGAAGTTTTTCTATCTTATCTACCTATCCTCTATTTTCGATATTTAGAGTCAAACTAGTGATGTTCGTTCATCCATTAGTCTCTCCGGCTGGTGACAAGATAACTTTCGAAAATCCTTATATTTATACCCGTGCTTGGTGAGGTCCGAAAATATCAGTCCATTCTTTGTAAAGGAAGTACGCTGGTATTCATTCCATAACGGGCAATTCTTCACATTTTAGTTCCTCCCCACAATGGGTTGTCACTTTTAAAAATTATAATTTTTATAAAGTGTTAAATAGGAGTTTTTTACCAACTCTGAGACTGGTTTGAAGATGGGATAAGACCGATCACTTCCCCACAAAGCGTCAACATTTTGAACTATGCAATATGTGAAACAAATAACACTTTTCTTGAAAATTCGTATATTTCAATATTTTTTTTTTACCAGAAGAATTGGTAGTATCTTCGAACTAGATCTAAATTTGATAGCAAGTGTTTGACTAATGAAGACACGATATAAGAGAGTCAAACAAAAAAGTGAATAAATCGGCTCCCGAAGGTAATTATTGTCTCACAAATTTCATTCAAAGAGATATCGGATCGGATATTGGGCAGTATCTACTCTTAGTAAAAAATCCATAGCCTAAATTATAAAATAAACACACTTCTTCAAACCACTGCTCATCATTTAAAGGGTTTTTATAAATTTTGTTGATGTTCTTCTAATCAGTCTTGACTTATGCAATTGTGCCGGAAATATCATATCCCACCCCTCTCAGAGGCTATTTGATTGGCACAGGCTGGGATTCGTTAAAAGAGGACATTGTAATTTGGCTTTTAATTTCCTGCTTGATCCTAATGATCAGGGATAACATAAGAACTACTCGCCCCTGACGAGCTATCGAAGCAATTTCTCCTCTTTTCTTTTTGCTGGAAAACTACTCCCGAGTTTAAAACAACTATGATCTACAAATGTGAAAAAAATGCTGACATTTTAATTGGACTTACAGATTCCAATCAAATCAAAAGAATTGACAATCTGGAAGGACCATATCTCAGTCAATATTAATAATGGGAATTTTCTGCAGGGAGGTTTAATCTTAATTGTCAAATTTGCCTATTGGTATGTAAAGTTATAGCTTATTTGACTAGATAATCGGAAAATTGTAAGGTAATATTGTTTCATACATAAATATCGAAAAATACCTAGGAAGCTTTAAGCTATTTTAAAATATTTCTTATATACCGTTTACCAGGCAACGAGTATAAAATATTGAAAATATTAATCCAAGGTGAATTTTCAGTAAGTTAGCTATAGCTATTTTTTATTATGTTGTCACAACACATCGGTTTCATTAAAAATGTGCAATAAATATCCTGGTTTTGAATTACTCAAAGAACTGAAATGAGCACAAAGTGTGTATGACTCCCCAATGAAGCCAGGTGCATATTTTCAAATTCCAAATCTTTAAATCTATTCAAATCTAATGGTATGATCTGAAAATATTTTAAACCTGTTATTAATAATTTTAGAGGATTCTTGAGAATAACTATTAAAACAGAGTTATCTTTTATCATAAATATCCCCATAAAATATGCGACTCATTTTAGCCCATGTGGCGTATGATAATAAACATCACTCATACGCTCCATAGTACCGCACTCACCATTAAATTACTCACCCAAAAAATTGATGGCTAACCAAATTGAGGTATTTGAAAATAGAGGTCAAACCAAAACAATGAAACTTAATTCAATTGTTGGTCCCATTTGTTATTGTCGGTTTTTTTGTCGATCATAACAACTGGTTTTTTGTCTGGTCAGCTGGTCAATATTGATTTATTTGTGTGTGTGTGTGTGATTTGTTTGTCTATCACCCCCCAAAAATTGAACAAAACAGCCTGTCATTCATTTTGGTAAATTTTTATTCTTTTGTTTTGTGTTTTTAGTTTTTTTTTTTCTGGTCACTGTCAATATTCTCTAATCAAATTGAACATTTTTCACTTTCAATCTGTCATGATTTTTGTGTTTTTCGCTTTGTTTTGATTCGCATTCGCCATCGTTTCTATTTCTCATTCACTTTTGAACAAATATGGGGGGGGGGATCAATTGAAACCACAATTGCAGATTTGGTTCAATTTGTGTTTTTTTTTTGTTTGTCATGACATGTTAACATGTTTAACGAATTTTTTCTATGGACATTGGATCAAATCTGTTGTGTAAATTAGCAAATGTTTTTTTGGGCAGTGTTTATTCGTTGTTTTTTCGGGCGACATGGAATATATTTTATGGTATTTTGTTTATTTGCCATTTGTTATTTAATGCACGTTCAATAGATATTTGTTTAAAAAATTTATTGCTTTAAATATTCGAGTGCATGCAAATGGTAAATTAACATATGAACAAAAAATGGAGATGTGAAAAATATATTTAAATCTATGGCCATTTTTAAACTATGCTCTGTGTCAGGTTGCTAAAAATATTTTGTTAGGACTGAAGATTATTAAATAAAAAAAGAGTTTTCAATTGCTTTAAAAGTGCATTCTCTAAATAGGTTCTTAATATTTGTTAAAGCTTAGAATAATTATGGATTTCCAAAATATTCTGGACTTAAAATATATATGGACATGTGCCCATATAGCGGACAAGTGCCCGCTACTTCGACAGCGAAGAGTCTACCTTAAAAATGTTGATTCTTTCTAACAGTCCGGGTAAGGTCTTTTTGGTACTGAAAAGCACAATTTTTCAATTTTGACATAAAGTTGTGTTTGTTAAACATTCATACACCGTACTAAATTCTCCGACTTTATTATATTATTTAAGTTTTAGAAAGAGTAATAGGACAATTTTATTCTTTTACATTAAAAAGTCTTCAAAATATTTCATTTTGAAGTGTACCGAGGTGGATATTAGTTAAACCATTGCAAAATGGACCCAAAACCAATTCTTCTGGTCGAAAC